GGCTGAGTTCTAGCTGAGCTTTTGCTCCCCCTAATGTTCTTTCTCCATGACCAAACTAAATCCCCATACTCCTCCTGAGTAGCCTGCCCCTTCTTCAAAAGGTTGTAGGCTCTCCTCTTTCTCTAGGAGGAGAAAGTTCTCCAAGTTCCAGCAGAATCTCCCTGTTCAGCCACACTGGTCGTTTTCCCCGCCCGTTTGTCTTACGACACACAGGGGCAGCCTGCCCCTGTGCCCCTAAGAGTATCTTCTTGGAAAATCTCCAGCCTTCCTGGTCCCCTTTGCCCTCTAGGACTGTATCCCAAGGGAATTCCTCAACCAGTGTTCTAAGCAGGCTGGAGTCTGCCCTTCGGAAGTCCATGGTCAGAGTTTTGCTGCCCCACACCCCTTCCTTGGCCAAGAATCAAGAACTCTGTCATTTCATGGTTGCTGAGCCCAGGACGGCCTCCAACCACCACATCACCCACCAGTCCTCCTCTGTTTGCTAGGTAACAGGTCCTCCTTTATCTGTGTGAAGGATTTTTAATTTGACCTCTTTAAAACTGAGACACACAGCCTGCTAAGCAATTCAGCTAGCAGAAGAGTGGGGACAGACAGCAGGAACAATATTGTTTGGTTGGTTTCTGACTACTGATCAGGAAAATTCCAGCTCTATAGCTCTGATTCCTAGGCTTCTCCCATTTGTTTCCAACAAACTTTATGCTGGAAAACAGACTTTCTGAAACACTGCAGGATTAAATCTATGGAATGTGGAAGTGAAAGGAGGAGGTGGTGCTCCTGAATCAGAGCTAGGAGTAATTCTATGTAAAGCAGTAAAGGTATGAGATTGCGTTATTTCCCAAAGCACACCTTGGAGGACTGTGAGTTCTTAACACTACAAAGCTACCTCTTCATTTCTATTTTAGTCTCTCAGCTGATGGCTTAAGTACACAAAGAACATGTCTGAACAAATATATAACTGCCAGTGCTAGAAAGCATGGTGTAGCAATACCAGATGCTTAAGATGAGAGAGATTACTTTTCCTTAAGCACCAAAGCAGAATACCATGTGTGGCAGCACTTGCTTTTAAAACTCATCACCCCAAAATCAGACATAATTGTGTTTATGTAACTGTAAAAACTTCACAGTTAAACACCTGCTACAGATGTAAATCAAGTTTAAGATTAAGAGTATTTAAAACCACAAAATAATTACAGGTTTCAGGATTCAATTGCTGTGCTTTAAGAACATGAAATGTCACATTTGTTTCCATTTTGAGGTGCTTTATTAAGAATGCACGTGTTCCATAGCACAAAACATTAAAAAAATTCTACAGAAAGGCAATTAACCTTTAACCACTACAAGCAGCTTTTTATTTTAATCACTCATAAATAACATACTTAAAACATTGAAAGCCAGAAAGGCTAGACTGCCTTCATTTATTGTAAAATTATTTTATATGAACTCATATTCAAGAAAAGTAAGATAGTCTAACAAGCTTTTGAAGTTAGACAAATGTTATGTGGTTACATAACGAGTCAACAGAACTGACTACTGGTTTAAAAGTCATAATCTGCTTTTCAGACACTGCATCATACTGATGCACTGTTTTGTTGTTTCATGTACAACTTCAGATACCTTTTAGTTCCAAGAAACTGTATTAAATCATTTGTGGGCACAGTGGCAAAAGAAGAAAATACTTCCTGCTCAAACTAACCAGCAAAGAGTACTCTTTTGTGTTAACTGCACTAAGCTTAGCCACTGTCTTACAGTCTTAAACAAGCATTCCACGCATTCTTAGTCTCTACAATGAAGACCACACTTTAAAAAGATAATTTACTTACTATGGCATCTTTGACTATAACTCTGGCAACTTGTTCTGCTTGGCAAACAGATGAGGTTTCAGAAATTAGCTTCGTCTCCAAGGGCTTTAGTAGAAAAAACACCAACGTAAGTTTAACAACTTACAGGAGAAAAAAAAAATTAAGAGGGTCAAATTTTGTTTTTTCGTCTTTTGTCATGGATGATATCGCTGTTAGGCAAGAGGTATTGTGACCTAAAATATCCACTTAAAAGATAAAAGCACCTTCATAAATAATGGTCTGGTTTTATGAAGGGAAATGCCAACCTTTCCTTCAGTAGTACTTTTTTTTCCCCCTACAGTTTAAACTAATAAAATATGAAATAGGGTTTTTTTCCCCCAAAGTATTTTTTTTCAGTAGAAGCTATCCAAATGCTTAAACTATGTCTCCTCAGCACCTATATTAATTTATTTTATTTTTTTATTAAATGAAGTAAAAGATAGGCCTGAAATACTTTATGATCCTACAACACAATTTATCTTTTTAAATGTTTCTCAAACTCTACACACTGGTATCCACCAAAATCCACCACTGTGTTTTATTTCTTCATGTTTTAGAGCATTTATGCCACTTTACACCTCACTAGAAAAACACAATTATGGCACTTATTTTATCAATCACAATTTCTTTCACAGGAACCCCTGAACAAGTCTGATCTGTTCAAGAACAAATGGCAAAAATATACTTTAAAGTATTTAGAAGCATGTCTGTGATTCATGTACAGCAAGCCATTTAAATGTTCAATATATTGAGATAAATGGTTCTGCTGATAAAGAAAAAAAATGCTAAATTAGGGAGAAAAAAGTACTTGGATGCAAGTCAACTTGTAGTTGCTAATTCAGCTGCATTTAATAAAATTCAACTGAAGCATTCAAGCCTAGTCAAACACTGAGACTAGTTTAATTCTGAGATTAATATTTTTAAAAAGCATTTCTAGGGAAGAGCTGAGCAACTACAGGTTTATCTCTCATTATCAAGCCAAAGTTCTACAGAAATTAAATTTCACAGATACAGGCATATTTCCAAATATCTGTAGAACTATAAATCCTGATTTCACTGACCAGGCTCCCCAAACACTTAAGGGGGATTGGGTGAGGAAATCAATGACTTTGCCAGCAGGAATCCCATACAAACATATTTTACATGCCTTCCTACAGTGGTATGGCTTATGTCATCAGGTCTCCATCTCATAAGCCCTGTGTACTTTTGAGCTTACTGCCCATTATCAACCAAATCTGAAAGAGATATAGGGATATCAACAGAAATTAAAATACTATAAGTTTGGGGAAAAAAATTAGCAGCTGTTCAGGGGCAACAGGTAAAGTTAATGACATGTTAAAAAAAGGCAAGCAGTTAATCTGGCCAAAGCATGGTTGCCATTTGTAAATCAGTTACCTCAAAAAAACAAATCAAAACTCCCAAACAACCGAACAATTAAACGCAAGAAAGTTCTATTCTAGTTCCTGACAACTTCTTTTACTATATTCAATGATTACATAGAAAAATTAATCCTAAAGAGATGCAAACTACAGAGACAGATGTTCTAAACTAGGTATTAAATAAATCCAACAATAATAAAAGGGCATCTGAACTGTCAGAGCAGTGCAATATTGCAGAGATTTAAGGTGCACTATCACAACAGGACTTCATGTATGCTAAAACAGAGCTTAAGTCTTTGCTTAAAAGACAACACATTTTTTTTACGAATAAGGTAAGTCTCATTAAATCTCTTTTCAAAAGAAATCTTAGATGAACAGTGTGTTTTGCTGGTGACTACTTCCTTGGAATAGACCATTATGAAGAAAAAGATGCTAGAGAATATGCCAGCTGCACAAGTGCTTGCAGCTGTCTAACCCTGGTACTTTATGCAGACATCTGGGAGTGTACATTTAATAAAGAGCATCTATGTCAAAAAAAGATTAGCAAGAGTTTGTATAGCAATCAGTAGAGATTGTATAACAAGGGTGAAAGGCAAAATGGAATTCAACCTCAATTTCCTATTATTCATGATGGGGCATCTTGAAAATGCTGTTCTCCTTAGACAACAGGTTTCTAGTTCATAAAAAAATGACAGATTTTTCTCTGGTTACCTGATACTTCAGTCTCAACAGGGGGCCTGAATGTTGTTTGGAATTTTACTTCATATGTAGGGACATGTCAAATGACAAAAGGCAACTAAAGTTTTTGAAGGTCAAAACTTTCATTTTTAAGGTAAGCCAAATGAAAAAGGCCAACTGCTGACACAGCCCTCTGAAAAGTGATACCGTCCTTTGCACTGCAAACCCAATGCAAGAGTTTCCTTCCTACTTTAATACTGGACAACAGCCACTGCTGGACTGTGTCTCTACCTCTATTCATACAGCATGGTAAGCTTGCTGAGTTCACTGAATGAACTGAGGTTTATTTTCATCTGTCACACCTATCAGAACCACTGCGTATCAAAGTTGCAAAATAGCAATGTTATTTTTGTCTCATTAAGCTTTGATATCAGAACAAATAGTGGTTTTACAGTTTACTGTTCCAGAACAATATTTCAATTATGTACAGAAAAACTTTGCAGTGTTTCAGAATTAAAGACAGGTAGCATTTCCATTTGAAGCCAGAACAATAAACTACACAAAATTATCCTACAGGCTACTTAACTCTGAGTAGTTAAGCTGATAAAATTGAAGTGTTTAAAAGTACATCTTAAAATCTTACTATGCACTGATTAGTAAAGTACTACAGAAGTGAATGAAATCTGAAATGTATTGATTATTACAAAGTAAAGCTTTAAAAACATTACCATACTACCAAAGGAAGATTTACCTTTGTTTTACTTTCTTCTGCAAAGCCAGGTGTGTCAGTATCTGGAGGATAGGCCACTGTTAGGTAGATATTATAAGGTTTTACCTGTATTTTACAAGAGTAAGTGTTATCTTAATACTGACAGCCTTTACATGTCCCTCATAAATTTATTAATTTATCTTGTACAAAAGGAATACAACAAGCATCAACTTAAACTACTTCTAGTGTTATGTCATTCTCATATTCAATGCTTGCAAGACTCAGAACTTCATCAGATGAGAAAACAAAAAAGCAAACATTTAAAAAAATGGTTGTGTTGGTTGTTAAAAAGTGCTTAAGACATTTAGGAGGAATGTGAATTTCCATTTTAAATAGGGATTAAACAGTTCTCTAACACCAGTACCCTACATTCCTAAACACAAGTCGAAAAAAGCTTTCAAAAAAACCATGCTAATAAGCCTCAGTGTTGTTATCAATGCATCATTTTCACTGCTGGACAAAAATTAGAAAACAAACAATTAACAATATAAAACACGAATTTGATCTTTAAGAGGTATACTCAAGTCACAAAGTTTTTCAACCCACGGTATAAACTTGCAAGGGATCAAAGTCTAAGGAGACAAGAAAAAAATAAGTAGAAAATGTGAGGAAAAACAGAAGGTCTCATGTTAAGGATTGCAGTTACTTATGTATTTGTATGTGTTTGCCATAGAATCGCATCACTTACTGCACTACTATTTAGAAATTAATACAATGCAAAACTGTACTCCAATACAAATAAAGAAGCTTTTAATAAAAATAATCAGAGGGCTAAGAAAAAGAAAGTAATGTTTTTTACTTATATTGCAATACCACATCACAGGTCCATAAAAACTGTTAGTTTTGAGTAATTCAGTCTTCACAAAGATATTAGTCACCAATATTTGAAGAAAGAGCCTGCAGTCAAGTTGTTCTGTTTGGCAGGCCAGAAGCGATTAGAGACAGTTTTTTTTGCACATTCTTATCCTGATCAAGGCATACAACTACCCTGAACATGGTAACAACAGGGACTATGCAAGGGTCTAGAACCAGACAGATGTGCAATATATAAACACTTAACACCTAAAACAGACATTTTTAACAGAGGAATAAGGAAAGTAATTTTCAAGTCAATTTTACCTCTCTTATTGCAACATACTTGCTGAATTTCCATTTAGTAATGAGAACAGTGTTTGGTTTTCAGTCTTGACTTAAGCATAAGCTTAGATCATTGCACTGTTAAAAGCTCATATATACCAAAATTTAGAAGGGTAAACCACCGTCAACACAATTTTTTTTGTGGATAATCCCCAAATTCTAGCTTGCAAGTTTTACTGGTTCATATACCCCTTAACATGGCCTCACAAACAGGTTAGGAATCACTGGCCCATCCCTCAATGCAGCCCTGGGATTTTCTGATCTGAGAGACTTGAAAAATATTTTTTTACTCAAAAAGACTTTAAATCAAATTCCTTTTAGTTCAAATATTTTTTTAAAAGTCTGCACATGTGCTCATCTTCAGTTCTAGGAACAGATGCAAGCTGTTCCCTCTCCCTCTTATGCAACTGAAATCAGCTTAGTTTCTGCAACTCCATGCAGAGCAACAGGATTGTACTGCTGCCAAAAAAAAAAACCCAACACAACACACAAATATCAGCAGTGCTGCACAAGACAAAAAGAGAACTTTTAAAACGAAAGTGTCCTGTGCTGCTAGTTAAAAAAAAAACAAACAAACAACAAAAAAACCAACTTGCAGTCGAAAATACTTGTTCTTGCACATACCTCCATCTGCAGGGCTTCCGCCAGCCCCCGAAGAGCAAACTTTGTGGGAGAGTAAGCTGTATAACCAAACAGGCCCAGCTGCCCAGCCTGAGAGGACACAAACACAATCCTTCCCATTCGCCGTTCCTTCATGGTAGTGATTACTGCTCGGCTCGGGTAGACACTACCCAGGTAATTGACTGCCATTAATCTCTGTATGAATGAGATTAGGATGGTATTGGAGCCACAGATTCAGAATCCTTCAACTGTTTGCTATTATTTACAAAAAAAACCCCTATTTCAGTCTGCTTTAACTAGAAGTTCACAAGATTTGTAGTTCTATGAGCTGGCAAAAGAAACAATTGTTTTTTATTATACAACTTCATAAACTGTTCTATAGCTTAAAAACTTGCTTCAAGCTGAAAGAAATCCAATCTATCTGCAAGTCTTAACAGCATCCAGGATACTGATAATACTCTGAACCATGTGGCCTTCAAGGATAGAAGACAACTATTGGAGGGAAAATCTAACCTGAACAGTGGCCAGGAAACAATCCATTTATGCATGTATGAAAACATACTGAAATTCATGTTTAAAGAGCTTTCTAAAACAGGAAACTGGAAAAATTCTATGTATTTCTCCATTTCAGAGACTTTAACCTTTGTCAGGATAATGGCAAGTCTTCAGTTTCACGCTCTAGAAGACAAAACACAACTGATAGCCCACACAAGCAATAGAATGAATTACTCAAATGTATTATAAAATCATGCTACTTAGTATTTTCAGATGATTCAACATTCTCTGTAGATGACTGGGGTCCTGAAGGTTGTGGCCATAAAGTAAGCAAAATACAGGGGTTTGGGTTTTTTCTTGGTCTTTTCATCAGAGCAGCAGCCTTTCAAGCTGCAAACAATTTGTGCACCTTGGCGACAAACAATAGTAACAGGCAAATTTTTCTTAAAAAAGAGAAAAGACAGACAGATATAAATAAAATCTTCACACAAAAAAAGACTATTTGAAATTCATGGTCTTCCAAATGCCAGGGCTTTTTGCCATCTTGAGGACCCACAGTATCCCCGAGGCAGAATTCCCTGTTCTGACTAGTCAATGGAGCAATAGTTAGTTGAGAAATTAGATGCAATCCTTGCACATCTGACAATATAGTCTAATTCTGACAGCTACCACAAATCAAGGGTATCATTATTCATACAATGTCTGCAGAGACGCAGGAATGAAATCTAATTGTTAGAACAGCTGAATAAGAAATCATCATATAATAAAATAAAAATATGCTCACTCACTTCAAAAGAATTAACTTCAATATCCTCAAATTTTCCTGTAACTGATGTTCCTGCACAGTTCACAAGCATGTCAACTGGCCCCAGCTTCTCCTGAGCCTGGAAGAGGGGACAGAGGTTAAGATGATACCCTGCTACAGGAAGGTTTTACATTATAACAACCTATTTCCATTAGAAATACACCACATACATATATACATAGGTGAACCAGTTCCTCACCTGTTTTAGAACATTCTCCACCTGTTCGTAGTCTTTAGATACATCAACAGAAATGCATAATACAACCTAGAAAAGGAAAGCGAAACATTTTTGCAACACATTAAGTCTGGTAACTGTTGACTACAAGCCTTTCAAAATTAAACAAAACCCACTGACATACTTTCCCAAAAAACCAAGTCTGTTTGACAGGGCAGTCTGCACTTCTCCCATACCAAAGAAAGCAATCCCTGCCCCCTCTGAGCTCCTTTCTCATCACTCTTTGCCAGTTATGTGGCCCAGCATGAAGGACACAGCCATCAGCAGAAATCATGCTCAGACTTTAGTATCCAATTCCAACGAATACAGAAATAACATAACATGGTTAACAGCAGGGGGAATAAGCAGAGTAATAGGTCTACCCACAGTAGCTGATGTAGCAGAGGAAGGAGTTAGCCAAGCCTGGAATCCGGTAGTGGAGGAAGGCAGAAGCCAAATCAGGAGTGCAATCACAGTCATACAAAAGTCACTATAGAGCTGCCAGAGAGAGGCACTGCCAGCTACGTCACTCCTGTCCCATCCTGCTGTCACTGGGAGCTCTGGCTGCAGCAAACAGCTGGGGAGCCCTTCCAGTAACAAGGGAAACCCCACACAGTGCATCCACCCCTAGAGAGGCTCCCCAGCTTCCCTGCAAGCAGAACCAGCTCTTCTACTGTTGAATTCAAACTGCTGAACTTCAAAAGCAGGACACCTGGTGTTGTCCTCCTAATTCATTTTCACCCAAAGTTGGCCAAGCCTTGAGAGAAAACCAAAAGGAAGGTTTCTCCCGCTATTTTGGTCTTAATAACACATCTCTCAAGATAGTTTGCCAGCTGAGACAAATTCTCTGCCTGGTTATGAGAATCATCTATATGTCAACTTTAATTCAGGGCTTGGGCTTCAGACCCCAGCACTTCAATCACACACACACACATTCTAGTATAAAAAAATACTACATTAAGAAGATGTAAGTACTTAAGGATCTTCAAAGCAGCTACTCCTGTTCAAAGTATAATTTCTAATTTACTGTAATAAGACACTATGACTTGAACTACTTACATAAAGCTTAGTAAAAACTATTCCAAGGCAGTCAAAAATCCACAGTGCTACATTTTAACTTTCATCAACACTGAACTCAAGTCAAACCATTTGTGTCATTTAGGCTCATCTTTCAGAAAAAAAAAAAAAAAAACAAAACTCTTTTTCCCCACATCATAGAAAGGCATGATTGCAAAGTGTTTGTCTCAACTGAAAACATAAGCAGCACAAAAAAACTTTTCCAAAATTTCTTCTGAAGGAGAGCACCCAGCTTAGTAGCACACTGTTTAATCGTGACATGTCAAAACTAAAAATTCTTTGAGAAACTGACCAGTGGCACAGCATCACGAATATCTAAGAAGTAATCTGTATATTTTTACTTGCCTTGAAATCAGAGATGATGGTATTTAGTTTGAGACAGAAAAATGATAACAAGCATTGGCCCAGGGAGGGTTTGGGGGCAGGCAGGACAACAAAAACCAGACGACAGTGATATTTAAGTTTTGTTGCAGCTAAAAGTTTGGCCCCGTTTTTCTTGAAAGTGACTGAATGCTTTCAGCAAGATTATTTCACAATCTAGGTTTTGAAGCACCTTCAAATCAACTTCTGGCCAAAGGAATCACTGCCTTTGGGTTACCACTTATGAACTGCAAGATTGCTACAAACTCCAGCTTAGCAAGGTATTGACAAATAAGCCACCCTCTCTGCAGTGCAATGAGAACAGCTTTGGGGCAACTTCTCATCTTGAAAGAAAAAGCAATCTCATATCACTATAATAGGAGGGACTCCTGAATTCTCATTCCAATTTCTATCCTTTCCATTAATTGGGTTGATTCATTTAAACTCAGTGTGAGGTGAAATTAAAAAGTCATCACCAGTTTGTAACGAGGATGATCATGAGCCCTTGTCACAGAGACATGTGGACACATACACAATAAATCCCCTAAGCTTAACCACAGTGTACCTACTTTGGTAGCTCAGCGTTTGTCAGTTCTGCCTCTGGTCAGACTGCAAGACTTCTTCACTGCATGAACAGAACCTGCTTGCCAGTCCCCTACAGCAGGTTGGCTATTCCTGCTTCCCAGCACTGCCTGCAGCTGGACATCAGAGTAAACTTGTGGTGCAAGTTATTGGTGGGCCTGCATATATCTCTGCATATATCCCTTAGGGCATTTGTTACATTTTGGAAATACTTATTCTTTACATAAGTTTAAGAATAAAAAGCATCTGAACAAAAACTACATTGTTTTATTATGTAGATGTCTTTGCAAGATCACAGAATAATAGAATGGCTTAGGTTGGAAGGGACCCTAGAGATCATCTAGCAAAACCTCCCTGCCATGGGCAGGGACACCTCTCAACTGGACTAGGATGCTCATGGACTCATCCAACCTGGCCTTAAATATCTCTAGGGAGGGGGCATCCACAGCCTCTCTGGGCAATCTAGTCCAGAGTCTCGCCACCCTCATGCTGAAGAACTTCTTCCTAACATCTAGTCTAAACCTACCCTCCTTCAGTTTAAAACCATTTCCCCTTGTCCTGTCACTGGACACTCTTGTGAAAAGTCCCTCTCCAGCCTTCCTGGAGGTTCCCTTAAGATATTAGAAGGCAGTTACAAGGTCCCCCTGGAGTCTTCTCTTCTCCAGACCGAACAATCCCAGTGCCCTCAGCCCTTCCTCACAGCAGAGATGTTCCAGCCCCTGGATCATCTGTGGCCCTCCTCTGTCCCTTTTATGGTGGCATCACAAAAGATCAGTGAGCAGGGTTAAAAATCATAGGTCTGTATCAGAATCTAATTCGTTAATATATCGGATTGCATAGATTAGTTTACTTAGAGTGCGAGTAACGCTTGGGAACCACCACAGCTTTTATTGACTACTATCACATTTTACCATTCACCCCTTTGCTTCTATTATCATATGTTCTTTCTTCAGCCACAATCTACTGACTACCTTCACTCCAATGCATGCACAAGAGACCCATGCCAACTACACAGAATGTGCTGCCAGAAATAGTCCCATATTCCCAGTCCTGTTCCTCATCTTTGCTCTAAATATTGCATGGTGTTCCATTAATAAAGCTTTCACAATATAAGATCAATTCCCAATGAAGTAACTGGGAATATTCTGTATTAGGAAAGGGATTTAAAAAAAAACATTGGAGAAGAACCTCTAAGGACAAGGGCTCTGTCCCATCACACACCTACACCCTTAAAGGCTGTACTGCCAGCACTCTAAATCACAGGCAAATGTCAAACACAAATGTACACAGACTTCAGACCCAGCTGCCAACGCAACCTGGTTTCACATATATATCCAAAGGCTGAATAGTAGCAGCACATGCTCATGTGAAAAAATCATTTTCCCTGAGGATCTTTGCCTCTTAGCTTGACCTCCAGTAGATATAACAGTCTTTGTGTATATGATCCACATCAGACCACATCTTTCTCTGCACTCTTTCAGTAACCGTTTTGTACAGCTTCTCTCGGTTCAGCTACCCTCACTTCCCAGCTTCTCATCTGCTGTTCAAGTGTGAGCTGTCCCAGATTCCTGCTTTTTCCAGTTATTTGCATCTGTATCAGGCAGACTTCCCTGTGACCTTGTCTACAACCAAACAATAGCTACAGAAGAGCTAGCCTACCTGTCACTCTCACTGCCTATACTTAACCTGGCTGCAAGTCAGCAAAACAGGCTCTGCAAACACAGTCCTGTTTATTTCACACTGGAGCTTGTTCAACCTGGAGCCTACTTCTGGAGATTAAGGGAAACTCTTATGAACATGCACCACACAATATTATTTTTTAAAGTCCGCATCTATCAAGCTTGGACAGACTTTAACAGGAACATCCTGACACAGTGTTTGACAAAGGACTAAAAGTAATGTTAACCTTGGAAAACTACTAGATCACTTAAAAGGAAATCGTTACTGGTATTTGTTTTATTTTAAATAGGCAAAATATAGTTTATCATCACCTCAAATAGCTTAGTTTTTCAAATGAAGTTGATCTGAGTAAGGCAGCATGCACAAAATGCCCAAAAAAAATCAGCGTGAGCCACTAGACAGAAATATAAGGAAGTGAAGACAGAATCTTATCTTACAAATGCAGGTACTAAGAAAATTTTGTATCAGCTAATATTAACATTGTTGCCTCCAAATATATGGCTTTTTCTGTTGCTGCTTTTCAACAGAATATCCAATTTATCAATTCAAATCCCTTTTCACAGACAAATAAATTGCTTCCATTTATAATAAAGTAACAAAAAAAGTTCTGGAACACAAAAAAGAAGTCAAAGATATTAATAGCCTCAAAACTGTTTACCCTCTCTCCTTGATTATTAGTACTGTGAAAAATAATTTTTGCATTTCATCTTGAGGTTGCATGCTTTGAACATAGTATGCTTACATATTTTAAGCTAGTACCTCTGCAAGCTCTAAATCAGTGTGTTTATGCACAAGTGCACTATCTATTCACCAAAGCAGCTTCAGGACTTAGAAGTCTCAGAACTTTGCAAATTCAACTTGTGTAGCTGTTAAAGCATTTTAGCAGGAAAAAGAACACAAGCACGATGTATCAAACTGAACCTGGAAACAAGTATCTAAACTTATTCACCAAGACAATCGTTGCTTTTATGAATTGTAAAAAGCAGGAGATTAAAAAAAAAAAAACCAAAACAATTTGTTCTTCCCCTTCATCTTGAAGAATACAAACGCTTATTGAGTGACAGCAAATTGCAACTATCCAAAGAAGTGTATTACACATACAACTGAACACATCCATCTTTTTCTCCTACCAAAAGCAGGCTAATGCAGTAGGCAACACCAAACAGCCGAGCTCAGAGTATCTTATGTAAGCAAACTGGGAGCTCTGAATTCAGGTACTGAGTCCTCACTCATCTCTGTCAAGGAGGTCTGTTGTTAAGACAGGACTATATTGTAGTGACTTACCTTAACCAAAGCACACAACTGCCACCATTAGCAGTGATCTTACCTGCTTGTCGTTAACACAATACTTTTCTATTTCCTTCTTTGTCTGCAACAGCTTGTTCTGAAATTGATAAAAGACAAGTAAAGCACTGGAGTTCTAAGAGCAGTATTAGTCTTCAGTATTTCAATAAGGCTCAAAAACATTCCCTGGAACCAAAAAAAGTTATCCTCCACTGTGTATAACACTCTGTTATTGTAATTTTAAAGATTTACGAATGTATTATTAAAACATTAAATCCAACAAGCTACCCAAAATTGTTTTTCACTTCATCTTCTAAAGCAATAACTTCTACAATAGATTTAATGTTTTTGTTTCATACCACTACACGGAGCACTTTAAACTACGGGTATTAATTTTTCTCCAGTATTTTGGTTCTATTTTGTATTTGTGTAGTATTACATTAACTATTCGGAAAGACAATCAATGTTGTGGAATTATCATCAAAATTAAACTAAAATGTTGTCAACTCAAATTGTCATACTCCCTTCAAGAAAAATTGCGTTAATTCTGGCTGCATTCAAGGTTATATAAAGCAAGTTCTCAAGGGTAAGTAAATGACCAAAGACAGATGGGACTGAGACTAAAAAAGAAAAAAAAAGTGCTTTTAGTTCCTGAATAATTGAGATTCTCTACAAATAAAGTAACAACCCATTATGAAAACTGAGTCATTCTGACTAAACTCTTAATACTTCTTAGTTGCAAAAAAAACCCAAGTAACAGTTTTTCCTCCAAAGCTGCCTTGAGGAACAGTTTTTTGCTGGGAAAAAGTATGGTATGACGATACAACGCTGATTAGATGCCAAGATATTCTCTGAATTTTAAGAATTGTCTTTAATCCCCAGTTGTCACTGTAGTTTTAGGGAAATTCCACACTTTTAAAGAATATAGGGTTTTATCCTCTGCCACAGATCCACAGATCTAGACAGTGAAATGATGAATGCCATCACAGAAGTGATAGCACTGGAGGAGTTTTAAGGCAAGCTAATCACAAATTTCACACTGGGCTACTCTCCTCAAAAAAGCAGCCACCTCTGCAATTCAAATGCATTAATTTGAAATGCTCAGTATCCCCTTAAAATACATATAGAAGAAAGTATGGATTTCAATTCCAAAATTATTCCCCACCTCTACAAATTTTTTTTAACAGAGTTTAGCCAGTAAAAATACCCGTACACTCACCTCATCCCTTGCAATCAGTGTTATGAAAGCACCTTGCTTATAACATTCAATAGCAATACATTTTCCAATTCCACTGGAGCCTCCAGTTACCTGAAAGTTATTTGAAAATGGCAGTGTTAGTCCACTGTTGTCACCCCTTCTCCCATATATGTCAATTCAAATGAAAATTCTAAAAATATACTGAGATTAAAATGTCACCCAATGAAGTATGAATATAGTAGATACAGTAAAGTCAGTTTACTCATCAAGTATGAATGAAAACCAAGATCTGAACACATTAATAAATGTTTGTTTCTACCCCTGAGCCACTTTTGTCCAAGTGGTATTTTTTTCTCATTTCTTATATCAGGCCACTCCCACATTGTCTCTCTCACATGATTTTCACTAAGTTCTGTATGTTATTTTTAAAAGCAGAAGTAGTTACAAGTTTGAAATCACTATTAATGTTAACCACAATAATACAATTATATACTGCCCCTTTGTATCTGGTCACAGTAGAAATTATTTGTAAAATTAATAATTGTAGATTGCCTGTCAAAGATATTATCACATAAACATACGAAAGAAAGTATTTTCTGTTTAGTAAAAAAGTTCCATTACTTTAACAGTTAGCCTTCTGTAGCGTATTTCTCAGTCTGGACCTTGGACTGTCCATGCCATCCCACAATTCCAGTTTTGGGGGGATGCCAGCACTTAAAACTTCCATCAGCTTTGCTACTTCCTCTGAAGTGTAACACTGAATATCCTTATACACAAACAGGAAGTTCCTAGTTCACAGACAAAAGCAGGGTGATGACTACAGCCCTGCATCCTATGTCGCAAGATACTCAAGTGCAGGTTAAAGTCAACACCTTTCACTACCCTCAATACACCTGCTTGTGAAACAAGATGTAGATAACAATCCTCACCTCTCTTTTTGACTAAAATAAGTCTCTGCCTGCCAGATACTGCCTTTAGATAACTTGTTCGTTAAACCTAGTCTCAGTCTGCATGTATCCTTAAACAAAGAGTGCTATCTTCCTTGCATACTCAAGCTACTTTAGTTTTCTTTTATAAGCATATTAAGAGGTGATAATTGAGAAAACATTGGAACAAAAATGCCTAGAAGCATTTACTGTAAAAAAAAAAAAAAAAAAAAAATATCTGTTCAGGAAACTAGTTCCAAAACATGGATTTCCTAATAATTGGAAAAAGAAGTGATTCAGATCGCTCTGGAAATCGTTGGTTTTTTGTTACCAAAGCCTTTCAAAAGACTTCAGAGAAAGTAGGATATCACCTCTATTTTAAACATGAGAAAACAGAGGCATTGAGCTAACTAGTGGTAGAGCAAAGATCTTCTAACTAACTACATATTCTATCAAAAGCCTTGTGTTCTGTCCTGTGCCAGTGCCTCAGTTTTTTCAGAGATGTATTATCCTTAAAATTCTTCACACTCCTGGAGGTAGTAAATTCGGAAGAGTCAGAAGTACACTCCCATGAGTCACTAAACTCTTCTTTCACAGGAGTATTTTATCAGTAACCTTCAAAAATAGCTTAGTGTAAGTCAAATAATCATGGCAAACAAAGACTTACAACACAGCCCATGGTTCCTGACTGGTGTGTCCGTAGTCACAATGGGCTAAGAATGGGCGTAGCATTCACAAGGACTAATTTCAGCTCTTCAGGCTTCCTCTGCGATTAGAGATCGATGTTTCAGACTAGCTTCTGAGGCTTTCTGCAAGATTAGCTTCACCCTACAGTAGCCTTTGAGAATAACTCCAAGATGAATGTGCTGTTCTACAAGTGTGAAACCTGGTCTGCAATATTCTGAACCAATGATGACCACTTTCAAAGTCAAACAAAGTCCATAAGAGTGTGAGTGTTACTGATCTGGGACTTCAGCAGAACTCCAGAATTAATTTCATGTTTCATGATGGAAAGATGTTAAGAATTTTAGCATATTCACAAAATGCCTTGCAAGACTTCAATATCTCTGGAAAGATAAAAAGGCTCAGTTTGATATATTCAGGAAGACCTCAGTTCCACAGCACTCATGAGCTGCTTCTACAGATTTTCAAGAGCAGCGGGTACACCAGCACATGAACTAATCAATGTGCACGAAGACTCCTCCAATCGGAGTTTTTGGCATAGCTCTGAGAGACAGCTGATTACTACCTCCACAAACTACTGAGTATCATGAACGAGTGAACTATCCCAGTGCTTGAAAAAATCCCTAACACTAGTGAAAATTTTGCTCTGTGCTGCAATGCAGTTAGCCTAAGGAAATTTATGAAGTCTGCTAGGTAGGTAAGTTACCAACACTGGTGCTCAGAATGAAAGAGCGAGCACACATCCGCTCCGCTAAACAAGAGGTTGTTGTGGTTACTTACCCTGGTGGGCAGCAGTGCTACCACACTTCCATTACTTCCAGACATTTGAACTGCCACTGATCCAGTTTTTAAATTTCACTGCAACCCAGTCTCAAAGGAGTTAGCAAAAATTAAGGTCTGGTCACAGCAACTTAAAACACAGACTAACTTCTTGACAGGAATGGACAATTAAATCCTAGTATTAATTCAGATGTTCAGAGTGCAATACTACCAGCCCTTGAGCAGTGTTATTGAGACATTTCTGTGTTTGAAAAGAACAACTACTAAATTAGTTATTCCAAAAAGAGTCTGGTTCCAACTTCTGGAGCTACGATCGTTGGTAAGTGAGAATCCACTTCTAAGGATCGCAAGGTCTATTTACCCTTGATAAATGTCAATATTTGAGTGAAGTATAGAGAATTGCTGTGTTTGACTTGAGATTTTGAGATAGTGGAGATTCGCTTCAATTGATGAGATAATCCAACTCCAAATTAACAGAACTGTCGTCAGGAATGCTCAAAATCAAGACTGGATTGATATGGTATCTCCAACAGAGCTTATTAACTTTAACTCAGCAGTGGATACAAGCTGGCTTCATGTTTTTAGAGTCCTCTAACAGAAAGTATTTATTCCACTGAAACAGAACATCCCTGTAATCTGCTCTAAGTGGCTAGTGTGCCTGACTAGACTCAAAATGACCTCATCAAACCACTCAGATATATCCAAACCACATACCATTATCACTTCCAACACAAGAACTACAATGCTGAGACACCAAGATTGGCTGTCCTTAAAGCTGACTGCAGTCACCAAGCTGGGCTCTGTACAAAAGTGGTGTGACTAACTTCTAGACTAGAGATGACCCTTATGTGTGTGGGTTTGGCATGATCATCCTGCACTACGCCCGAGCTAACGGCCCTTTTCAATCTGCACTGGAGATAGCCCCAAGCAACAAAGATCTTTACATTTCCTGCCATTATTAGTCCACAAACTTTTATGAACTGCATTCGTATCACTGAGATCTGTTTTGCCACAGTAACTTCAGTTGGTTTTAGAAAGATTAAGGCCCAAATAAAGGGAGGAAGGTTAGCATTGATATTGCAGCACAGAGTTTTGAAACATCACTCATGAAATTTACAGAAGGCTGCTTTTGCCCTAACAGCTTAAGGTTCTGCTGCACTCTGCTGCCGGGAAAAGGACCTTCGTAAAGAAATGGAAAGAAAGCAGAGAAAACGTGTAGGGCAACTACAAAATCCCTGACAAAGGACAGTTAAATGTGATACAGGTGAGTGTGATGCATACAAAGCAGTGCCTTATCCTATTTTCAAATATTCAAAGATACTGCCTTATCCTATTTTCATTTTCCTGAGTACTATTACAACCAGCTACCAAAATAATATCTTATTAATAGCTTACAGTGATGTATGCTAGTATGTAGTCTGAGACCCAAGGAGTGAGATGAAGCCAACGGCAAAATAAAAGATGTATGAAACAGTCTTCCAGGTTTTGAAGCATGAAGAAGTTCAGCACAAGTAGCAGCTCTACAGCAAAAACCACACATTTTTATAGTCTTTGTTTATGAACACTTTTCTAATCATGCTAGAAACAAAGCAAGCAGTATTAAACACCTAAAAAGTATTTTGTTTTAAATAAGCTAAACCTGATGCTTGAGCCAATGTAATGCCCGAGAAGTCCTTTTTATTTAATAGTGCTCAGTGGGGTCACCAAAATGCATAGCAGATGAAGAGGGAGAACTCACAAGATCTGACCATTAGTAATTTGGAGTTCTATAGACAGACACTTGAAAGAACAGCCCTATTCTCTTCTAAGACTCCTGTGATGATGATCCCTCCAAAAAGTACACCTTGCCTAACCCAGTGAGCACTTCCATAATGCAAATTACTCTAAGAGAGGACAGAAAGAAAAAGATTCACACATTTTCTGCTTCAAATTTCTATCCCAAAAGGCAATCGGAGTCAGTTACTTAGCCATAACTCAAACATTACTAATTGTAACTGTTAGGACTGAAGAGAAATTTTTTTTATGAAGGATTAAGAGTTAAAAGAATACTGACTTGAGTTGAAAATTCACTAACTGGTATGTAATAGCATCTGAAGTTACCCAATGATCTTCCTTCACAAATGTAACAGAGGTATTTTTATGGTACTTTCAATAGGCCCACAGAAAGAAGAGCTTCTACAGAAGACTGATTCTTTCTGCTTCAAAAAAACTCTTGAAAAATGTTATTTACAGTGTAATGATAATCACTTGCTCTCCTGAGATTAACCAGCTAAATACAGAATTTGAAAGTCTTTACTCCTTTACCATTTCTTTCAAGAGTGGGCTTAACTGAGGCCTGATGAAGAATACCAAATGTTAATCTAGTCTTAACTGAACCAAGTAATAAACTAAAAAGAGTTTACATATGCAGATCACTTAAACAGATTTTGGCATTTTTATGTGAGAAGACTTCAAAGAAGTCCTTAGATAATGTTACGATCCTCAAGTATTTTCATGAAGTCTCTCAGTCATTTCAGCAGCAGAAAACACTTCCTACAAGTATGCAATGTAAGAACTCATTTTATACACACAATGTGTAAAGACTCCATGAACAAAACTTTGTTTACAGTACCATCATCCAGTATTTTTCTTTATGCATAAAATCTAAATGTACAAATGTCTAGCATTATTAACAGTGTCTGCAAATCTAATAAACTAGTGAACTCTGAAACAACTGCTCCA